CCCTCCAACCAAACGCCATGTAATATGTTAGTTATTCGTATATTCAATTGTTCAATTTTTTTACACTATATATTTGTTTGACTGAGCTTTATAATTTAAAAACAATGAATGAAAAAAAATATATAATTCAACAGGGCTTATCAAGTTTGAGGAAAAAAAATCTTTCACTGTATATGTGCATGTATTTTGACGCCTTTATTATTTTCTTTCAATTCAGCAAAATTGAGCTAAAAAACACTTTTTGGGTGTAAAATCAGCCTCGTTGACTATTACTATCTTGCCGTGAGTTCAGAACTTGTTCCTTCTTCATAGCTATAAATACCATATTTATTATTGAGAGAGAGACTTTTTAGCTACTTTTAAGTGTTAGCTTTTAGCTCGCGAGCCTCTGACCCACTAGCAAGCACTCCAATCTATAACACTTAAACCAACAAGTAGACTAAGCCCATGCCCGTAACTGACCCTAGAACTGTATTTCGTAGCTAACATCATTCGTATATACTACATCAATCATTATTATGGATTACAATGATGAGTGAAATTAAAAAGGAAATTATTATTGTTATTACGGAAACAAAAATAAAAAGAGGCAAGACAAATGAACAACAACAAGAGAATACAATAAATCTTAGGGATGGTAGGGGTAAAATGGTCATTTTATAATTAAGGCCAATCGACTAACCAAAAATTCTACTCTTATTAGTTTTTCAGATTTTGGCTTATTGTCCCAATAAACTAATTAAATAAGCCATTTTACCCAATACTTAGGCTATGTCTGGCAAACCTAGCTAAAAGTTGAAAAGTTATAAGCTATAAACAGAAAACTAAAGAGTTGTTAAGCTCGTTAATTATACTTAAAAATGTTTGGTAAAATTAGCTTCTTGATAAGTTAATAAATGTAGAAAGACTAAAAAGGACATTTTCATAAAATTTAAATAGTTTTAAATTTAAATAAGTTCGTTGACATATTAAAATTTAACATTATAAACTATAGAGATTTATAAAATCTTATAAAACATTATAGAACTCATATGATTGTATAGAATTTTAAGGAGAATTTTAGAGATATAATTATAGTCATACGATCAAGTAGATCTCCACCGTCCGGTGAGGACGTAAAATAAGTATAAATAACTTCATGTGGCTCATTTTGTAACCATAAGTGGTCTAAAAATAAAATGTCTTAAATTAAATAAGAGAAGAGAAAATGGGCGAAGAGATGTCGATGCACGGTATTAGCTATCAATTATAATAATGGTATTTAAAATTTAAAAAGAAAAAACATGAATCACACTACAGAATACATTCTAATAGAGCAATACTTAAAAGACAATTGCATAACACTATTAAGATGCTATCAATCATTTAAAATAGTCACGCAATTATCTACATTTTAAAAATTAGATAATTAAAACCCCAATTCTTAAAAATTAAGAATCCAAAAGAATATTAAAATTTTTTATTTTTTTTATTTTTTGAAATTTTAAAAACATAAAAAATGTATACCGTCACAATTGCCTTTCCAAAACCACATCACCACAAATCGCCTTTCCAAAACCACATCACCACAAATCATCACAATTGCCTTTCCAAAACCACATCACCACAAATCATCACAATTGCCTTTCCAAAACCACATCACCACAATCATCATAGTGTATCAATAACACACCATGCTATATACTTTCATTCAATATATTATCTCACTATATAATGTTATTACATAAATTTAAGTTAATTGATAAACCTGTGAAATGGTAGTGCATCAATAACACAGCATGCTATATACTTTCATTATGTGAATAAAATGATTCAATATATTATCTCAGAATATAGTGTTATTACATAAATTTTAAAGAGTAATATAAAATACTACCCAAGTTAATTGATAAAAATGTGAAATGGTACATAGATTTAATTCCCGAATTGTGATTCCTCAAATCCATTTCCATAAACGGAAGCTTGATAACACTCATTATTTATTGAATTGGGATTCGTTAACCACATAGACATAAAACTTGAAAAAAAAACATTTAGTTAGGAAAATCATTACAGATTTTAAAATATATAATTACATTAAGAGATAATTAAGTACCTGTCTAATTACCATTCCAAGGGTCTATAAACATTTGAGGACATACCTTCGTAAAATTCCAAAAACTAAAATAGATTCCTAGTACTTGGGTAACGTCATAGGAACGACAGATCTTAACCTCACCGGCTTTATATGTTTGAATACTTTAAATTATTGTATTTAAAGAAAACACAACTATCACTGGAATTAGATCCTACTCGCACAATATTTAGCACTACAAAACTGTGGAAAAACAACAACTGTGAAAAAACAACAACAGGATCGTGATTTACCTGATTTCCCCCACAAAAACCACGCAATAAACTAAAAAAAAATTCACTTACTGCGAGTTCTAAATAATAGAATCAATAAGCATGGAAGGTTTTCCAGCAATAGCTTGTCACCATAAACTCTTTCCCTTAAACTTGGTGAGGTAAATAGCAACATGCCCTTTTGGGATATGAGCAAAAAGTTCCCCTGTATATCATAAACAAAAATCCCGAGTTAAAAAAAAAAACATGAAAAAAAATTGCAACGTACCTCTTGATTCATGGAAAAGTACTCCTTGGCTTCACTCCCTTTCTCATCTTGGAGAGATTTCCGGCCAACAATGTATAAGGGAATATTCAATTAAGGATTGGTCTGCGATTGTGGTCGAAGTAGTCTGGGATGATGTGTTTTTATATGTGAAGTGTTTGTATTTGAATCAAAGTGATATATATATATATATATATATATATATATATATATATATATATATATATATATATATATATATATATATATATAGAGAGAGAGAGAGAGAGAAGGGTTCAGGTGCGGGTATAGCTTCTCATGCGGTTGTGCGGTTAGATCTGAGTTGTTGATCAAATTTAGATCAACGGCTCAAATCAATGAAAATTAAAAAAAAAAAAAACGCGTGTTTGAAAGAAATAAGCATAAGCTAAAAATGACGCACCTTAAGGGATAGAAACATGCACTTAAGTGTTAGATCTTAAGCACAAACTCACGCACATTAAGTACAAAACTCACACACATTAAGCACAACCACACGCATATTAAGCACAAAACACACGCACTTTAAATATTAACTCACAGACTTTAAGTTTCAACAACTATTGACATTAAGCACAAACTCACGCACATTAAGTACCGTACATTAAGCACAACCTCACGTACATTAAGCACAAAACTCACGCACTTTAATTATTAACTCACAGACTTTAATTTTTAACAACTACTCACATCAAGCACAACCCCACGCACATTAAGCACAAACCTCACACACCTTACGCACAAACCTCACGCACCTTACGCACAAACCTCACGCATATTAATCACAGATCCGCCAACCTTAATTTTGACCTAGATACAAAAATTACAAAATTACCACCACATTTTTTTAAAAAATTTTGGTAATCCTGGACGTTGATTTAAGCGAGATGAATGGCCCAGATTAAATCGCACAACCGCACCTGGACACCTTAACCGCACCAGAACCTATATATATATATATATATATATATATATATATATATATATATATATATATATATATATATATATATATATATATATATAATTATATATTAACATTCACATATAAAATATAAAATATAACAAGTTGAATTATTACGAACGAGTTAATCATAAATAAATGAGATAATAAAATTTAAATTTAAATTTAAATAAAGACAATATTTAATAAAAATGGTATTTTCAATAATCTGGCTGCTCTTGAAAATTGTTCAAGAGCAAACATGTAATCTTTAAAAGCCTATAAAAGGCTTCCTTTAGAGCTTATTCGGCCAGTTTTGCATTTACAGTAGCAACCGCTTACAATTGTAGCCATCAACATATATTGCATCTTCTTTTGTATCCTAAACATGCCTTTCATGTTTGTTCCTGTCAAATAAATCCATCTTGTACACAAAATGAGAACAAGTTGTCAGGGTTTATGAAGTCCCCGAGGTTAGGGGAGGGGGCATACAAGCAAGAGTCTTGAACGTTTGCTGCATGATGCATGAAGAGGTAATCTTATTGTTATTATTTTTTACAGCATTTTCTTCCCTAAGCAATCTCTAATTTTTTTTGTTACTCCCAGCCTTACTCTCAAACATGCGAATATAAAACTTGATTCCCAGGTTCACGAGTAATTCTTAAAAGAAAAAGGGATTTTGCACTTCCCAAGGCTGAGAGTAAAATAGATGTCAATATTGAGGTCACTGAATTGTCCATTTATTTAACACTAATTTGATGGAATAACAAACGAATGACTAAATTAAGCAAAAATACAAAAGTATGGGACTACATTATGTCACCAAAATCGTTTAGGACGAAATTGAAAAAACCCACTATAGTCAAGGACTATTTTGAATATTAACTCTATATTATACTATACATATAGCCATGCCGGATGAAACTACTAGTAGATAGATAAAAAACAAAAGCACCACTTTGTCGATTGCACTATTTAACCAGATTAATTGAAACATTAGTTAGAGAATGAAATTGCAATATTTTATTGATTTAATGAATGAATTTGGTATTTTTTTCTTAGAAATTATAAGTTATAGTGTGTGTAAAAAAAATGTACAAAAAAAAATAGTGTCTGTAAAAATATAAATTCGTTTTTTTTTCAAATTTTGCCAAAAATCTTGTGGTTCAACGGCACTAAGTTGTTCCCTCTTAAAGGATGTTGTGGGTTCGAGCCAGTGAATGTGATATTGGCTCTTTGTGCTTAAAAAAATAAATTCCTGAACCACCACATTAAAAAAAAAAAAAAAAAAGAAAAAGGAAAAGAAAAAGAAAAAGCAAATATATTAAAATGAAAATAAGGGTATAATCGGAATACGGGCCCAAACTCCAGAAACCCTAGCTACATACCTGAGGGTTTTATTATAGCATCGACAGCGGCTCAACTTCGCTTCGTATACCTCAGGACTTGACTTCAGGTTAGGCTTCTGAATCTTCATGCCTTTTCTTCCTAATATTGCCTTCTTCTATCTACGTGCCTGTGAATCTATCCATCTATATCATTTTCAATCTGATTTAATTTCCCCCCTCTACGTGATACAGGTATTTACAAGGGACAGCAAAGTCGTCCGCCATGAGGTAAATCTATAAACCAGCATTGACTTCAAATCGCCTTGTGTTATTTGTAGAATTGTTTTGAATCTTATCCAAATGGTGCTGTTTGTGCGGTGTAACTTTAGGGTTTTGCTACTTGTTGGTATGTCGTGTTGTTGGTAGGGTGAAAAATATTGTAGAATGTGATTGTTTTTTGTGATTTTGAAGTATTTGTGCTTGTTTTGTTTACTAGTAAATTGCAAAGTGATGCCGTGAGGGAAGCAATCACCCAGATAATGGGGGATTCCAAGGAGAAGAATAGAAAATTCACAGAGACTATTGAGCTGCAAATTGGGTTGAAGAATTATGATCCCCAGAAGGATAAGCGTTTCAGTGGCTCTGTTAAACTACCCCACATTCCCCGCCCTAAGATGAAGATATGCATGCTTGGTGATGCTCAGCATGTTGAAGAGGTATTTTGCTCATGCACATTAATTGATAATCATTGTTGCTTATTTGGATTGATTTTGTTTGTTTATTGTGTAACCTAAAAATGAATTTGCTAGAATATACTTGGGTGGTGTTTGTGGAAATTGCATTTCTAATTTGGAATGTACCAGCTATGATTGTGGTGTGCTCTGGTATCAGTTATGACTTTTGAGCTAGATATACTGTTGTTGTTCTATATATTTTTATATATATATATATATTGCAGTGTATACAATATAATTGGTTTTAAATTGTCAGTGATTGTGTGAATTCCATCTTTGATGAATGAATACCATCCTGATGTCACCCACATTCTATACTGCAGGCAGAAAAGATTGGAATGGAGTATATGGATGTGGAGAGTTTAAAGAAACTCAACAAGAACAAGAAACTTGTAAAGAAGCTGGCTAAGAAGTACCATGCCTTCTTGGCATCTGAAGCTGTTATTAAACAGATTCCAAGGCTTTTGGGCCCTGGTCTTAACAAGGCAGGCATGTGCACCTGAAATCCCTTTAGTATTCTATTAAATGATGCATTCTTGAGCGCTGTACCTACATAATTGTTTGCATGACTTCGCTCTGCACTTAATTCAAGTCTTATGGATCCCTGATCAGTATGCCAGAGCCTGGCTATTGGAACCTCAAGGATGATTGAATCTCTCTCGTTGGGACACCTTTGTTTTTTTTTTTTCCTGAACTTTTACCTCTTATATTATCAGGTAAGTTTCCAACATTGGTGACACATCAAGAGTCCTTGGAGAACAAGTCCAATGAAACGAAAGCTATGGTGAAATTTCAGCTTAAGAAGGTCCTCTGTATGGGTGTTGCAGTTGGAAATGTGGCAATGGAGGAGAAGCAGGTGTTTCAGAATGTTCAGATGAGTGTCAACTTCCTTGTCTCGCTGTTGAAGAAAAACTGGCAAAATGTAAGTTCAGCTACCTTGTTTTCAGTTGTCATCTTTATTTCATATATTCATATATAGCCGGATGATAAGGTTCATTACTTCTTGAATCATAACTGATTCACTGGTTGAAATATCTTATTTATTGTTTTACAAACAGGTCAGGTGCTTGTATCTCAAAACAACCATGGGAAGGACAGTCCGGATCTTTTGAGTTGGTGCTTTTGTTTTTCTAGAGTTCTGTAGGGAGAGCTGAGAATTGGATTTGTCATCTTCTTCTAGTGGTTAAAATCCCTTTTTTGTTTTTCCATTTTCTTGGATTTTCCAGCTTCTGATTATGCAAAACACTGAGATTTTGATTTGTTCTAAGGAACCATGTTTTGGAAACCAGAAAAGTGTGTGCCCTACCTTAACATGAAATGAACAAATATAAATGAAATTACTATATAAATATGGGGATTGCAAGTTGATCCAGCGAAGAATGCTATAATGGATTGTGTTTAGGAATAGCATCGGGGCCGGATATATTCCTGTCCCCGAGGAAATTTTGGGACGAATTTTTGTCCATAGTCAATTCTCCCGTAACAGTACAATTTTAATATTAAAATAACAAAATATACAATTTTTATGCATTCATAAATTTTTCGAGAGGTAATTTGATAGAATTAGTGACAATCAGAATCAAGCATTTTTTAAGGATTTTTTTTTGGTGTTCCATTTTACTATTTACTTCACTGCGATAAGGTATGTAAACGTACAGAGTCTGAACAAGCAACGAACAGAGTCTAAACAAACTCGTTTGATTTCGTTTAGTGTTGAACAAGCAATTAAGCATATGTACAAATTGTGTCATGAATATGTGGATGTGTTTGGTTATTAAGCATTCATGAACGTAAATGAACAAATTAAGTATATATACAAATTATGTCATGAATATATGCATGTGTTTGGTTATTAAGCATTTATGAACGTAAATGAATATGTTCATGAACGTATTCGTTAATTTTAACGAGAACGTTTGTAAACATGTTCGCGAACGTACGAAAACGTATATTCGTTTCGTAAACTGCCAAAAGCCCCTCACTACTGGAAGGATTATGAACATCAAAATAAAAAATATAGATTAAATGAATAGAAAGAGATGTTTGTGTTGAAAAATTATGAGCGGCTAAATTATATAAAAATAACGTGAGATTATTTTCTGGAATTAGAGCACAGACAGCTACATCGCAAATCTGGCGGCTTTAGAATTTTGATGATCTAGAATTCGTGTATGTCAAATGCTGTAATAGTATTGCAATACATTATTGTGAGTCAAGGTTTCTTCCTACAGAAAACTCGAAACCATCTACCTGGTCTATGGTTTTCCAATTCCAATTCAAATTCATTTTCCTGGAAATGTGGCCGGCCTCTCAGCTCCAACTGAAGCCATTCAAGTCGAATTGCTTGCAACTGGAAGCAACATCGGTTTCATCTTCTGTGTTGAGGTCCAGTTTTGGTCCAAAGTATGGGAGTTTGTATTCTTGTGCCATCTTCTGCTTCTCTGTTTTACCTGAATCACTTCTATCAGCAGGCCGGGAATAGAGCTTGGCGTCTCCATCTGCTCCGGTGAATTCGTAGCTCTTCTTGCTATTCCATCGCCCTCCTTCAAGTCCAATGCTCATCGATAAGTCGCTGCACTTCGTTTCCTTGTCAACTGCTTTTTCCAGATCCTCCCCCATTCCAGAAAGGAACTTCCCGGTCTCTTTGAGCTCATCGCTCCATCTCACTTCGCTCTGCTGTCGCCTCGTCTCATTGTCCATCTCCTTGGGATCCATATATGCTCTCAAGTTTAGGGATCCTAATCCTATCTGGCTATTGTGCATTTCATGCTCCCTTGAAGGCCCTTCACAGGAGGTCAGGCAGCTATCCAGTGAACAATCGGTTGGTTGCGTTGTTCGTGCTTGCTGTGGGCCCAATCCCGGTACTTCTTTCATCTCTGAAAATGTTGAGTTCAGGCATTGGTTGGATACTTTGGATACTAACTCTGATATCTGAACCCTGGCTGCCTCTAGGCCCATTGTTCCCAAGTTCTGTCTCCCTAGGGTTTCTTGTGCCTTCTCCAGGACCGCCTGTAGGTATTTTCCTTGAGCCTCTATCCTAAGCTGTAAATGTCGTTGTACCTATGTCATTCCAATTGCATATCATTTAAAATGAAGCTACGAGTTCTCTTTTGACACTTGAAATTATGATATGAGAAAAGGGCATATCATTTGCAGCAGTTCGAGAACTTAACGCTACTGCTAAATAAATCCAAATTTGGACAACACTGACTACAAAAAAAAAAAAAAATTGAATAATATTTTACCTCAAGCTGCTCATGTAGCCTTCTTTGCACTTCAATTTGCATTTGTATTGCTTCACTTATGTGCACGTTTCTGAGTATAAAATGTGTTGGTCAGAACAACTTTGGTTGACGGTTTTTTATCACATGAAATAAGGTGTTTGACTAGTCATACGAATTCTTACTTGTTTGTTTGGGGCACGGTGTTTGAATTATTCATATTCATATGATTTCCATTTGCCTCATATATCTTGTCTGTTCCTGACCCTTCGGTTGCTGCATTCATTTCCATGCTCAGCAAATTGATTTTGTATTTTCTAATTAAAATATATTTGCAGATATATTACTGAGAAATTCTGGATTACTTACTTGTTTTATTGGACCCGCTATTGGCTTGCAGGTGAAGATTCTTACTGAGTCTGTATTTCTGCCATCCCAAACGTGAAGTGTTAGTTTGCTTTACCATTCCAAGATGAAAGTATCTGTTAACAATGCTGTTTAATTTTTTAGTTGAAAACAAATGATGGAACTTTTTAGATTTATATGCATGAGTGTTTCCTGGGCAACAAGGCCCGCCAAGCCCTATTGAAGCCAATAGCATGCATGTAGTTTAAAACCACTGTGCTTGGTTGAAAAGGTCTAAATTAATGAGCAGCTCAAGGTGTTGTAAATTTAGTCAAGGATGATTTATGGGGGTGATGAGAATTTACCTGAAGATGACTCTTTAAGTGGTATAAGGTTAACCCCTGAATTCCCATTAGCTTCAAAACTGACTTTGGAGTGGCTTCTGCATTAAAGGAATTCTGAGTTGAGTTAGCAGAACAAAATCTCATATTTCTGTCGCTTCTTGAAATTTACACGTTTGCTTGCACTTACTGTCAGCTCCACCAAGTTGATTTACTGCTTCTATAAACCGCTCATGGAGGTCTGCAGTCCACTTCAATCTTGGCTTGGCATCTGTTGAAAGAACGAGTCCTGAATCTCCTCCATGGACGTTCCCATCTTGCAGGAACAAATGCCTTTCAGGAGGAACCGACATCCTTGTGGAAGGGTGCATACTCCTTCCTTGATGGTGGTGATGGTACATAATTGGCCTTCAATGTGATAATTAGCAAGTAAGTCGCATATATGAGAAAACTGGTACTGGGCCTAGTTATAGATAGCTCTAAATGTACCTGAAGGAGGTATTTATTTGCTTGTGCAGTCTGTTCCCACCCTTGAATTGTGAATAACGTGTCTTCTATACTCTGCAAAGTATATTGTCTCTGACGCTTGATTAAAGAAAGCTTCTTCTACAGCTCTTATTTATCTCCAATTTCCTTGACAATTTTTCACAATACAAAGTTGTGCTCAAGGAGGATTTATAAGGATTTGAGGAAAGCTAGTGGGAAGGGTCCATGTAAGGAATGGAATCTTGCACAGGGCCACTGCAAGCTTACACAGCTACATCCAATCCAATCTTCACAGCAACTCAAAAGGAGATCTTGTCCTTGCAGTTCTACACATCTGTGGGCCATGGTATGCATGTTCTCTATGTATAATCAGGCCGCAGCAATATGCATTTAAATCTTCTGCAATATAAGTCCTGAAACACTTCACACCTTACAAAGGGTACAAGAATAGATCCACCACAGACTTTTTCTTTGCATACATATTCGTTGCCTGAAAAAAATTTCGAACCTTATTCGCAAGATTAATAGCGGAAATTTTATTATATTTTTTTTTGGTGGGAATTGGAGGAATCCACTATCTATGATGTCCTGAAACCTTCAAAGTCGTTTTCTCTTTCCTATGGAAGATTCTGTTGACTGAAGCATCTTGTACCTGGTGTTATATACTTGCATACATATAAGGAAATGGTAGAAATACAGTAGAGATATGCTTCTGCTGTAGTGCTGTTTGAAGTCCATCAATAAGAAAAGCTAATGCATCCTTTCTTTAATAAGTGCTATTTTCCCCTTGGTTATCAGGTTTTGATATGCTGCAATACTATATAATTTGTCATATTAGCTCGACTGCTCAAGTATAGATCCCATGGGCAGAAGAAAAAATCCAACTATTTTCTAGCCCAGTCCCTAATCACTTCTATTTGCTTGCAGATATTGGTTTGTTATTTATTCATAACTGCATACTTTTGCTAAAGGAAGGAGCTTCAGTATTGTTTTCCATAAATGACTTGGGCATGGAGCTTGCTGCCTTGAGCATTGATTTCTGGAAGCTAATCAATGCTGCTCTATATATTAGTTCTTCAGTTCCAGGTACAGTGCACAGTGAATAAATATAGCTAGCGTCAACTTGCTTCCAGTATCTTGGTTTACAATTATTCTCTCTCTAATAAACTTTATAAGTGCTCTTTCTGTCATAATCTGCCACCAAAACATTGAATTTGAGTTAAGAAAAACGAAAGAAGATAAAAAGAAAAATAGCATAAGAGATGCTTTCCTCTGGCTTAATTTGAAGGCCAGGAATAGAATTTGGAATACATTCCTTTGTACCCTACGGTAAGTTTGGTACTTATTCGTCCTGGACAGAACTAAAATAGTGAGAAGAGGGGCCTCGGTTAAATCATTTCAATTCTAATGGTATAACATTGGGACCACTTCAAAATGTAAAAATAAAGGATTGTACTTGCTTCCATACTTGCGTTTGATGTAACACATGACAACTTGCAACCAGAAGAAAACCGCTTGCTTTCCCTAGACTTGAGGCTTAATTGGCTTTGCAGATACCCTGTATGAATCTACCTATCATTGCTGCACATTTTTACTTCTATTCTTTTTTGTGCTTGCATTGCTTAGGTCATGCCTATGTGTGAATTCATCATTTTTTTAAAAATATAATTTTCTTTACCTGTGTAACATATATGTGTTTTCTTGTAAATAAAATTTGTAAAAGAATGGTGTTCAGGTTTCACATCTGTTTTATTAAGTTTCCAGTTATAAGCATGCACATTTCTTTTAACTGTGTGAATTGAGAAACACAGCCCTGTAAGTTTAATTTTATACTTTACTTTTAACTGCTATTGGTGGATGATTGTCATTTTATGGATATGGTGAATGTTTCAAATTCCATGCTTAATCTCTGTCCATAGATCTCGCATAATGGAAATAGTTGGAGAATAAATAACTATCAAAGAATATTATCAAAATGATCAACAGCTAATGCAGAATAAATTCTAATACTAAGCAATGATGAAGAGGTCTGCTTATGATCACTATTTCACTAATGCTACAAGTTGAAACCTAACTATTCATCATAACAAGGAACATAATTCATTGTTTATTTAAGGAATGCTTCATGGTCTCTAAAAGAAGCATATGGAGATTAATTCGAACTTAAATGATTTTTTAAAACCTAAAATCAATTACAATATGCTGTGAGGTGAAAAAAAATCTATTCATTGGAACAAAAAATAAGGACCTTAGTTCCATTCGAACTTTTTCCGGAAAGATGAATTGATTCTGATATCTTAGGAATATTTTATGCTGTTTGGAGGAATCTATTTGCTACCTTTAGGAAAAGTGCAAAAGCAGAATTCTCCAAGTGTTCTGTTGGCATGTGGATAGGAATGAAGTGCAGATGAGGAATGATATGCTGTGCTTCAAACTTTGTTAAAGTGAAAATGTGCATATATTTCAACCATAGCCAATATATGAGTTCTCTTTGGTCTCATTAAGAAAATCTTTGATATGGGTTGTGTTGCATGCTCTGCATGCTTATGATTCTCCAGAACTTTGGATCTTGCAGAAAACTTTATTTGGGGCAGGCAGGCAGGCAGGCAGCCTCAACCCTTAAGATTATTAATATTTCTACTGGTGTTTACTTCAGTTGTCATGTGACATAAATGTGTTCTGATGTTAAGGCAACGAAATACCCCTTAAAATGGCCTATATGGTTTGCCCTTTTTTGTAATCTAAAATTTACTGTCTCTTACGAGACATAAAGCTCTTGATTGCTTCGATCTGTCGAAGATTTTTAGCCTGTTTTATGTTGCTGCGTTAAAACCATATATAGAATAACCTTGTAATAATTAATTTTCATTTCTTGTCTGTATGAAGGACCCAATCTGTTTCCAAAATTGGACAACTAAAAGTACTTAAACTGTCCTTCCTTGATGTTGCCATAAAGCCATAACTGCTGCTCTCTCTGGTGCCTGTACGGCATGCAAAGCTTTTGCTATTCTATTCTATTCTATCTTGTGTTGTATTTCCTGTGCACTTGTATCAGATTCTCCACTTTAGGGAAGAGAGAACATGGGCTGCTGTTCTTTCTTGTACTTCCATTTTCCTTCATAATTTTTACTTTTAAGTACTTGATGAAGCTCTGATCTTTGAATCATCTCATGTTTTTCTGCACTGGTCAATCATTAGTGGCGACAGGTGTACAACACACATTGGTGGCTGCCTGTTGACCCCAGGTGAAGGCATTAGCCAAGGAAAGGGCAAAAAAAAAAAGCACAGAAATGACCACAGGAATGATATTCCTTGTGGGAGAGACAGAGAAGAAAAGTAAGATTCTGGGGAATGGAATGTAAGCATCTTAACTCAAAACTAAAGCATGGGTCGTATTCTCAAGTCAAGAATTTTTGGTTATTCTTTCCTCTTCAAGGCCACGAAAAATGGGTTCCTCCCCTTTACCTTTTATCTTTAATCTGCTTAATACAATTTCTGATGCTTCTCAAAATTGCATATAATCAAATATTTATTCCTCCTAAGTATGCCACCCTCTTCTGTCAAATATTTCTGATGCCTTATTTTTGTCTGTGCTTATCAGCTAAATATGCTCTCCATCTTTGCAAATGGCTAATCTGGTAACCACTTCCCTGGGAGATGCTCCCCTAAGCCTACGAACACAACCAATCCTTGCTAAACATGAGTTAACATTGTTCCTCCTATGTCTCTCATGATAACCTGCATGGCCAAATGTAATGAGACACACAGATGCCACAGGAATTGAACTATGGACTTTTTAAACTTCTCTTTATTATTGTTAATAGGGAAAATCTACAACTGCAACTTTTTGCACTGGGTACAACCATATATACTTTTTGGATTGTATTGCGTATTGTCAACTTTTGTCTCCACAATATCTAATACAACTGGACATACCAGGGGTGTTTGGTAAATAACTGTTAGCTGATTGGCTTAGTGGGTTTGAATAGCTGATAACATTAGCTGATTGTAGAAAGATGTTTGATAAATTAGCTGTTAGATGATAGCTTATTACATGCAAAATAACTTTCTCAAAAAGCTGATTGAAAAAGTTGTTTTGAGTAGCCTTTTTGCATTTTAGTGTTTTGGAGCAATAAGCCATTACAAAAAACTAATTAATCAAACTCTTATATTGGATATTTAACCAAGCCAAATAATTAATAGTGGTCAAATAAGTCCAAATTAACTGATAAGCTATGTTACCAAACATGACCATCATATGTAATTATAGTCACCTACTTGTATAAAAAGCACCAATGATTGACCAACATCTTAGAAATTTTCATTATTATTTGTTTTTTTTCCATGAAATATATACTACTATAAGAGGGATGTGGAATATTTTGTGAGTGGTCACAGGCTCTGGAATTATTATATATCTTTTGAAAGTTGAGGAAACTAAGTTGCACTGAATCTCTTTTGTTAAGGCATGGTTGTACTCTTTTTGATGTCTCAAGCAAAGTATTTTGAGAACTCCAAACTGATGAGCTTTGTCTATATAGCAAACTTGTTGCATACGAGAGTTTATTCAGGACCCCTCAGTTGTATAACCATGTTAGGCGAGGCGAGGGGTGTAGGAGTTAAAGATTGTTAATTTAGTTGTCATTAGTTTTATAAATGCAAACTATATCAATCATTTTGCCGAGAACCATTGTTACATTGCAAAGTGGGCTATTGACATTATGGGTGGGAATAGGCTTGGGTTTCAAATAGTGACCTATAACATGACTTAGTTTTGACTCGGTTTGACTTAGCCTTTTGAATAAAAAGGTCAAGCTTGAGTCTATATTAAGGTTCATTTAGATAAATAGTCATATGTTAGGCTAATATTTTTAAGGCATATATATCATATATGTAGGCATATAAATAGGCATATGCTAGGCTAATATATTTAAGGCATATATATGTGTGTGTATATGTATGCAGTATGTATGTATGTAATGCATGCATGTATGATTATCGATTCATATGGAAACCATTCTCCAGGTGAGAATGTGAGGAATAAGTTTGTGTGTTCATTTTTTCTATTTGGATGGTGATTTCCTAAGATGACACATCGATTTTTTTTTTTTTTTTTTTAAGTGGGGGCAATAGTGTTTTCTTTTTAAAAACTTAGGTGATCCCTGCGGTCAGATCCTTGTCTTTATGTATGCACAAGGGATCTAATATAGACTTTCCAACATTCTTGAAATTTTTTTTCATACAACACTACCACCTCCCGTCATGACTTTTAAGTCAAGCGACGAACCAACTACGCTAAACACCAATTGTTTTTATTTTATTTATTTTTTCTTAAATTGATGTAGATGTGGCTAGATTCGTTTCCAATTTTCTTGTGTCATCACTGTTGCAAATTGGAGCTGCGATTTCTTCATCATTGGTGGGGAATATACTCTGGGTTCAGACTCCCCGTACGCTCCGTGCTCCTGTTTGGGTCGAGGTTAAACAGTTCAGGTCCCGGTTCACGTGTCAAAGTCAAACCCGCCTACGTTTGGGCCTATAAAAGGAGCCTTAGCCCTCCAAGTTAGGGGTTCCTCCTCTTCCACTCTACACTCTCTTTCTCTAAAAGTGTATTACTCTCTAAACACTCTCCCCTCCCTCTACAAACACACACTTATGAATAAAAGAGGATCCCTTTGGACTATTTTCTTATTGTCTACTCTATGTTAGTCATACATACATCGTAGATACACGGGGATTAACCATATCAATCATCGATCGAGTGTTCGTTCATAGAAAGTGATCGTTTTTTAAAGTATAATATTGCATATATTTGGATGTTGATTTATATGTACGCATTTTGGTAGTACGGTTGTGCAATCCAGTGTTGTGAGTGGTGTATTGTAGGATGGTGAGATGTGCATTAGTGCGCTTAGTGCAGTACATCGTAGGATGTTGAACTGTGTTTGAAGGCATAACTAGAGCTATCGATGCATGACAAAGCAATATGAATACACGGCCCGGGCTAAGCGAATAATCAAACCAGAGAGTTATAGATGCACCGGCATTATGTATAAGAATGCATAACATTCTGTATAGCAATGTATGATAGGAGCCAAGCGATCACGTGGCATATCAATGGGTTCAATAGACCCGTTGAATAGTACTGTTGAGCAGATCCGTTGGTCTAATGGTACTACTCAATGGATCTATTGAACCTGTTGTGGAGCTCGTTGATTGACCAAATTGCCTTTCAAAACAAATTTCCTCGCCTTTAATCAACGCTAATAGATTATGTTGATTTTGATCACAATCGTGGATTGTCTGATTTTAATAGCCTAGACTAAACTACAGGTTCTCACTTGTGGAGTGGTTCTCATAAGAGCTAGACCCTATATATATTGTATTAGTCCATGTATATGTAATATTGAAGCCTTGATGAATGTTGGTGTAACTTTATGATTTCATTGTGCGTGTTGCTATGAACTTATGATGATTTTATTATCGTTGTTATTCTGGACTTGTTATTGTATTTCCATTGAACTTGTTATGAACTAGTTATGACATTTATGAACTTGTAAGTATTAATGTATTAGTTAGTATGTTTGGATGATTGTAGGTTTATATGTAATTCTGGAGATTGTGGTTTTTTATTTGTGATTTGTGAACTTGATTATGTAGGCTTAAGTTTGAGCAAAAAAGTAAAGCTCACTTATAGGCTTAGACCTAACTCCAGCCCTAATCTCACATACCAGGGCTAGGCCTATTTAGCCAAAGTCTAATCCGACTTAACTTATTTTTACCCCTAATTGATATACATGTTTATTTTTACATATACTATTTATTATTATTTTTTTTAATGTGTGTGTATATATTCAATTTTTGAAGGTTGATTTTTAATATACTTAAAAATTAATTTATAGTACATTAAAAATGAATTTTTAGTATATTAAAAATGAACATTTTTATTATTGATCTATATCACAATATAGACCAAGATCAATAGTATAATTGCTGTGAACTAAGCGATGGGCCAAACTAGTGTATCCTAATGGACGCATGGCTTTGGGGCAGATGTGCAAGATCTGGCCCGGGTACATATTTCTGTGCCTATGAAGGCCCACCCAAAAGGGAAAACAACGGATTGTTATGCCGAGGAATCGTGTAAAGGTGAACACGGTTCTATATTCATAATTACTGAATTCTATACTTATAATTATAAAATTTTATGTTTATAATTTTTGAACTTCATATTCACAATTATTGAACTCTATATTCACAATTACAGAACTCTATGTTCATAATTATAAAACTCTATGTTCATAATTTTTGAACTTCATATTTCACAATTATTGAACTCTATATTTACAATTATAGAACTCTATGTTCATAATTATAAAACTCTACGTTCATAACTCTATATTTATAATTATAGAACTCTATATTCATAATTTTTGAACTCTATATTCATAATTATGAACAGTTTTAGAATCGTGTTCACCTTGCAAGGTGGTTCCATAGCATAATTTGCCAAAAACAACCTATTCATCAAATGAGGTTCTTGATAGAGTGGCACTTGAAGTTCCCATCGATTATTGGCATATTCTTCCTCACTTGGTCTCATGGGATATCCTTCATCCTCAATGTCAACATCGGGTACAATAGTGACCCCCAACGCCTAGCCAATGCCAAGGTCTCCTCATCTACTACATACCTCCCAACACTCGGTGAATGAGTGTGAAGATCATATGGAGGTTGAGTGTCTTGGGGGTGTGGTGTGTAATGAATGGGTGATGGATATGGATTTGGAGAGTAATCTTGTGGTGGGAAAGGATGTTGAGGTGGATTGTAGTCTTGTGAACATTGAGGGTATTGATCATAAAAAGCATATTGGGGATCTTGGTATTGTTGAGGATATGGATTATGGTATGGAGGTTGGGAATGACAAGGTAAGTCTTGGTAGGATTGTGGTGGGTAAGGATCTTGAAATTGAGCATCATGATAGCTATTTGGATGAGGGGTTTGAGTTGTACAAGGACTAATGGATGGGGCATTGTAGTATCCTTGTTGAGGCATGTAGCCCCCATAACCCCCATAAGATTGAGAGTTATAATATCCTCCTTGGTCCATCTTGCAAAATCTCTTTCAATCAAACCAAATGAAGTAAACTTGACAAGAAGAATAAGCAAATAAAAACAAAACTTAGTCTCCTAAGATTCCCTAAACTCTAATGCTAGTAAAACAAGCAATCACATAGAACCACCAAATTGCCAATCCCCGGCAACGGCGCCAATTTTTGATTTGTAGCAAAAATAAGATGTGAGCTCGGGTGTGTTATGTCGTCCTCAAGGGATTGGGGGGTATGGCACGCAATATGCAATCACAAGAAACTAGACACTAGCATAAGGAAATCAACAAGAAGCTAAGCAAATCATAACGAGATTGAGGCTACGCTAACTAAACAAAGTAAGACAAACACATATTAACAAGATGTAAACACGAAATAAAGAAATAGGACTCAAGCTAGGGAGCATTATCATCTAGATGCTTGAACAACCTAAGGGATTAGGGAGAACAAGTAACCAAGGAATCAAGAGGGAAAGCACGTAAGCATCCTAGTCTACGAACCATTCTCGTGATTAATAAACAAGGATTAGAACAAGGAATTGCCCCACTTTCGTGGTGAATCAATTCCAAGTCCATCAAGCACACAAAGCATCTAAAACCCCAAATTTCTCCTATTTTCGTAGGAAGAAATTGGGTCTATGCAAGGGGTGGCTTGGATTCATCACCCAACTCTCGTTGAGGCAAGGAATCCTCCAAAAACAAGCTAATGAATGTGTACATCAAACATTAACAAGATATAAATACAAAACCTTCATAAACACATGAACCCTAGGTTGGAGTTCATCCCCTTTTT